TTTTCAAACTTGAATGGTACCTCAGAAAAAAAATCATTAAAAATTTTAAAATTTCGTTTAGGAAAAAAAACAACCGACAAATTTTTAGATCTAATGTTTGTTAACACATGCAAAAAAAACCACAATCAATTTCAAGTTTTGTCTCTAAGAGTGTCATTGGTGAGCTGTGACGTAGGCCCAATATGCAAAATGTGTGAGAGAAGCGGGAAGTGTTGTGAACACTCCCATTTTCCGCATGATGGAAATTTTTTGTACATGTGCTTTATATAAATATATTTTAACTAAATTTTAAACAAACACCCCCCTCCCCCCTCCCCGACCAAAAAACAAAACAAGAACAAAAACAAAAACAAACGTGTTTAAAAAAAAAATAAATCTACCCTCCGTTGTTGTGGAACATACAATTTAAGTAAAGATCAACTGATACAAAAGTAACTGCAGTGCAGAGTTTGAAAGGGACTTAGATGAACCCGTTAAAAAGATATTTATTTTTAAGGATGTAGGTTGCGTCACGAATCTTTTATCGCACTATAATAAGAATAAAGACACAATATTTATTATTCATCAAAAAGTCAACATGCAACAATTAGGCCTATAAATTATATATATTAGAATTGAAACTACAACCCAAGACTGAAAACGGAACCGGTTTATCATGTGGAATCTCCGTGTGTGGGTGGCCGGGGATGAATACAGGGAATTTCCGTTTGCGGTACGAATAATAATTCACGTATGAGAAAAAAAACCAACAACAAAAAACTATAACAACTCATTGTCACATAGCCGTGCAGGATACATATTTGGTCGCTTTAAGCACTAAGGGGCTATCCCGAAAAATGCTGTTTTGAGAAAATCAATGGTAAAGTTTTTGCCCCTTGTTTAGTTTCTGTAAAAGACTTCGAGAGTTTTCCCCATAACCAAACAAATATACACACCAATGAAACCAAACTTCTCCTATAGGTAGGGCAATGCCCACTTTTGGTGTAGGACAAGATTTCTGGAAACCCCCAAAATCTGAGTTAGCCCGCTTGTCCTTAAAAGTGACCATTTATAAATAGAAGTCACGAAATTTT